ATCCAATTTTATTTTCAAGATTTTGACATATTTTACCATCATTTCACATGCCATAAATGGCCATGGTGACATAAGAAATTAGTGCGGGTGCAGTGGTCATTTCCTGCTCTTGTTTTAGTGCAATTATTGAATTTTTCCATGGCATAATTAGTATTTAAGGATTTCCTTCATTTTAATTTAATATGATACTCACGTGATACACTGTAACTATAGTGCTACTTGCCAAAGATTGGGGTTAAAGAATATAACGCTGAGGACAGGCAGGTACTTTTTTAGAGTCTGAAGCCTACATTAATAGAATGAGCAAGGTAGAACTACAAGTTGTACAACAGAACAGACTTGTTCCCATGTGTTCCTATATAGGTCATGTATTGATGGAAATAACAAAGTTTAAAGTAAAGATATGCCTTGGCCTTGAAAGGCTTGGTCTCACCCCTCTTTTGATTGTTTGTTGATGATTTATCCTGCTACTGCCCTCAGAGACTATTCTGTACACTTCATGCCTGTGAATAGTCAATGTTTCAACCCTGGCTGAATCACAGGAAATGCTGCATAGAGAATTGAAGGTGTTTATACATGTAGAAATGGTTTCTCAGTATATTCAGTCTCTCTGTGTGAACACTAAACAATGTAAAGCTATATGTTGTACTAACAGTGCACTACGGCATATTTATTCATGAGACTCCTTAAATGGTTGAGGTGTGCTTTTTATGACTCTAGAGCCAATGGACTTAGTTTGTCTTTAAGAATGGTGCTTTACCCGGGTATTTTTTTGTATTTTTTTTTGTAGATTGACAAATCTATTCTTGTGTCTGTGGACCTAAATGACGGACAGTTATTGAACAGTAGCTAATTAACTGATATTGTTTTTCATTTCAAATCAACATAAAGAAATTGAGAAAGAAATAGCTCAGACTCATTCATCTAATTTGTGCTATTTTGGAGCCACTGAACAGTGTCCAACGTCCCAGGGTGTCAAATTTTCAAACACCTTTTGGGTTACGTTTTTCCCCCCAGGCTGAGTGGGTGGCACAGATGATCAATGGATTACATTGACTAATTTGGATCTTTTTAAGGTCATTGTTGATGGTAAGAGAACTGATGCTCACTGCATGGTTGTGAGGACAGTCAATTTAGTTTTTTCTTTCCAGGTGTGCCTACAGAACCAGTCCTCTTATCACTGAGTCATTTTATACATTTGATAGAAATGACCGAAGTTGTGGGTTCTTTGCTTACTTAGTCCTTTTTTTTACTAGATTTATTTAAATTGCCCCATGGCTGTTTTTCCAAAGCATAATGCCTTTTGAATAGACTTGACTCTGCTCAGCTTGACTGTTCTTCTACTACATTTAATAATAATCTCTTTATTATGAGTTTAACAATGGTTCTGCAGAAGTAATCAATAGTCAGTGGACAAAAGAAAAAAAAATCTCACTATCCCCACAGGTGGATTTCTAAAACGTGTGATCAGATGGCTGTTCGGATATTATGTTGGGCATTCTGTGCTCACTCTTTTTACACGGACATCTGAATAACTTCTCTCCTCACAGAACAAGGAAGTGTCTCACCCACACACAAAAAAACAATCCAACGATGTGATTGAAGTAAAAAAAAACTTACAGCTCAATGCAAAACACAATTCATTAAATGAAATTTTCAATCTTCTCTCGTCTGCCTTTGTAGAATTTAGTGAATTTTAGGTCATTTAAAAAAATGTTCTTTGAGGGTTTAAGAAGGTGTTTTATGCAAACTTGCCCATTATGCCATTGCTGTATTCCTCATGACCCAAAGTAAGACAGCAAGAGTAGGCCCCCTTTAAATTACTCTGATTTACTTAGGTCTACTTTTGTGTGTGTATATTTATTGGACCATGTGCGAGAGACTCTCCTGAGTGTTTGCACACACGCAGGCTGTTCTGTTACTGGCAGACAGGCAGCCTGGTTGCCGCAGAGCGTGTACTTGAGAAAGGACACCTGAGTTTGTAAATCAGTCCTGCTCTCTTTCTCTCCACAGCCGGCTGTCTGTTCTACTTTTGGTATATTTTTTTCTTTCTGGTGGTGTTTTTAATCACCTTCTCAGCAGTCTTTCTTTGTCTACTTTCTTTACTATTTTCTCCTCTTTCTTTCTGTGTCGGTGAATCATCGTGCTGTCTTTCAGTCCCTCAAGTGCAGTCACATGCACACCCTTCAAGATGTACCACTTTAGTATTATTTGATTTCTTGGATTTGATTCATTGCATCTGTCTTCTTAACTCAATTAGAAAAATGTCCCCTTTATCTGGAGCATATGTTCCCACAGTCAACTTTGTATAGTGTCTGGTAATTATTTCTTTCAAAGTTGTAAGTTGCCAGTTTGTCTGTTACTGTTATCGCCTTACCTTCTGTTGTTTTCTGAAATGTCTAAAGGTAGAAAAGCAATACAAACACACACACACACACACGCTCATATACATACATACATACATACATACATACATACATACATACATACATA